AATAGCTTCTTGTTAGTAGTAAGGCCCTTGTTACTACTAGCGTGGCACTTGTTCCTAGTAGCGTCCTTGTTACTAATGCTTATTCGATCGTGCCAAGTATGGCCGACTGGGTCTGAATAAGACTGTCGTTTGGTGTGTTTGGCGTGTTCTGAGTCGAGAGGTTCCACTGTCGCGTTGCTATCTACCTTTTGAACACAGCTTTTTGTCAGAAGCTTCCAACATTTCACTGCAAGAATTGGATTTTGTTGGGAGTGTGTGGATTTGAAGGCAACCTTCACCAAAGCTCTGTCGGGCCTCATGGCAAAGAACACCATGAAGGCCGCAAGACAGCGACGGCCTCCACCCTAACAGCGACGGCCTCCAACCTAAGAGTGTCCTTGCTCCTACTAGCGATGCTTTTTGTTCCTAGTAGCTTCTTGTTCCTAGTAGTAAGGCCAGGAGCTACCAGTAGCGTTCTTGCTACTAGTAGCGATGCCTTGTTACTACTAGCGATGGCCTCCAACCTAGAAGGGATGGCCTCCCATGGCAACCCTCTCAAGCCTTGCTTATGATGTTTTTTGACATCTTCCAGCGAGCAGCGAGGCGACTGGTGCCCTTGCACAGGCCCAAGGGATGACGTATGATTGGTCTACATCTAAAGGCTAAGGTGGTGGCAAGGGCCTTTCAACTTGACTTTTGCACAAAAAGATTCAGAAACCACTGTATCTGTAGTTGGACCCACTAGTCTTGTGAGGAAACCAGGTCAAAAAGAAACTAACATCATGTAGCTTTGTAGGCGACCGCTGCTGACCTGCTGCCAGAGCGGGGCTTTCTGGGTCGTCTGGGCCTAAAGAAAAGGGGAAGTACAGAGGTGAAACTTCGTGACGAGGCAGAAGATGCCAATGGACTCATTTTGCCAATGGACTCACATCGCAAAGGAAAGCGTTTCGATGCTTTTGGAGATTGCGAAGATAAACAAAAAGGGTGCTTTTACTACTAGGAGCATTCTTGCTACTGGTAACAAGGGCATCGCTACTAGGAGCAAGAAGAACCTCGTTCGGTTTCCTTCTTCCTTCTTCCTCCTTTGCAGCGTTTCTGAATCGACACCACTGGACCCCTCCAATGCTGTTCCGAAGGGCTGAGAAAATGACAGGCTCTTTGAGTCTTGGTAACAAGGTTCGCTACTAGGAACAAGTGCATCGCTACTAGTAACAAGTGCCTTACTAGTAGTAACAAGAAGCTACGTTCAGAAGAAAGGGCATCGCTACTAGGAGCGATCGGACGCTACCAGTAGCTCCTGGCCATACTACGAACGGAGCATTCTTGCACTAGGAACAATAACTCCAAGCCTTGAAAAAAGGTGTTCACCACCATCGGGCATCGTCTTCGCACAATGGCTGAAGTGAAGACATTGTTGGCACATGCTGTCTTTCATTCAGTCTTTTGTCTGGTTGATCTCAGTCTCCAAGGCTGTGGCAATTGGGTCTTGATTGGTATGGTGAACTGCCAGGGCAGCCCAAAGTCGTCCTGGCAACTTTCTCCGCAAATCTGTCTTCACAGTCAAGTGTACAAAGTTGAATTTTTTGGAGCCCATCGCTTCTAGTAACAAGAAACTACTAGTAGCTCCTGGCATCGCTACTAGGAGCAAGGACGCTACTAGGGGCTCCTGGCCTTACCACTGAGAGCAAGAAGCTGCTAGGAGCAAGGACGCTACTACATCCTTTCTGATCCAGTCTTTTATCTGGCTTAGAATTTCATGGGTCTCCTGAGCTGCCGCTAATACTGTGTGAGGGGGGGTTCAGCATTGTCCAGACACAGAAGTGTCTTTGGTAGGGGAGCGCTTTTGACAATGCTGGTTGGTAGGCTGAAGCCCTCCAATTGTGATTTTATGGCAAAAAGGTCCTAGTAGCGTCCTTGCTCCTAGTAGCGAGGCCAGGAGCCCCTAGTAGCGTCCTTGCTCCTAGTAGGCTTCATGGAAGTTGATGGATTTTATTCATAGAGATTTGCGGTGGACAACTCTCTTGAACAAGACTGTATGTGTTGCTTCTGGAAAAGCCATTGCCAGGGTGGCTGGCCCATTGGCAATGCTCGTGGCACAAGAGATGCGTGGCCCTCGGTGAACAATTGTTGGCAGAGCGGGCTTTGGAATAGAAAGATGAGCTTGAGAACAAGTGCCTTACTAGTAGTAACAAGAAGCTATTAGGAATAAGTGCATCGCTACTAGTAACAAGTGCCTTACTAGTAGTAACAATGTTTGCTATTAGTAACAAAAGGGGTGGCATCCAATGAGCAGATGCGAACAAACCTAATAGCAATGGCCTCCAACCTACCAGCGATGGCCTCAACAGTGTGCTGTGGCGAGGCCGAGAGCTGTTTTCCAGAGTCCGTCCCTTGTTTGGGATGACCCTGTCGGGGCTCCCAGAGACCAAAGCGCAGATTAGGATATTCACGCGAGCCACATCTCGTAGCCAGATCTGGCGCACGTTGGAAGAGGAAGAACATTGGAAAGTCAAGGGCAAGGGGCATCGCTACTAGTAGCAAGAAGCTACTAGTAACAAGTGCATGGCTTCTAGTAACAAGTGCCTTACTAGTAGTAACAAGAAGCTATTATTTAATTTAATTTTAATAGCTTCTTGTTACTACTAGTAAGGCACTTGTTACTACTAGTAAGGCACTTGTTACTAGTAGTAAGGCACTTGTTCCTAGTAGCTTCTTGTTACTACTAGTAAGGCACTTGTTACTAGTAGTAAGGCACTTGTTCCTAGTAGCTTTTTGTTACTACTAGTAAGGCACTTGTTACTAGTAGTAAGGCACTTGTTCCTAGTAGCTTTTTGTTACTACTAGTAAGGCACTTGTTACTAGTAACGTTGCACCTGTTCCTAGTAGCTTTTTGTTACTACTAGTAAGGCACTTGTTACTAGTAGTAAGGCACTTGTTACTAGTAGTAAGGGCACTTGTTCCTAGTAGCTTTTTGTTACTACTAGTAAGGCACTTGTTACTAGTAGTAAGGCACTTGTCCTAGTAGCTTTTTGTTACTACTAGTAAGGCACTTGTTACTAGTAGTAAGGCACTTGTTCCTAGTAGCTTTTTGTTACTACTAGTAAGGCACTTGTTACTAGTAACGTGGCACCTGTTCCTAGTAGCTTTTTGTTACTACTAGTAAGGCACTTGTTACTAGTAGTAAGGCACTTGTTCCTAGTAGCTTTTTGTTACTACTAGTAAGGCACTTGTTACTAGTAACGTGGCACCTGTTCCTAGTAACCCCTGCAGACCTGCTTAGACCTGCTTCCACGCATCCTCAAAGGCCGAAGGGCTGACCGAAGCTTTCGGCAAGGCGGGCAGAGGAGTGGCACAAGAGCGGTGCATGCGGAAGAAATCGAAGTCGGAAAAGTCTAAAGAAAAAGGAACAAATAGAAAGGGCCCAAATAAGAAAAAGGGTCCAAAATAGTACAAAAAGAACCAAGAGGTCGCTACTAGGAGCAAGGATGCTACTAGGGGCTCCTGGCTTACTACTAGGAACAAGAAGCTACTAGTAACAAGGGCATTGCTACTAGTAGCAAGGTTCCTAGTAGCATTCTTCTTCCTTTAACTAGACGACGAGTGGCCCAAAAGCATTTTTCATCACGTAGGAAGTCAGAGTGCGAGTTATTTGTTAAGTGTGCAGTGTGAAGTGTTAAGTCGAGTGAGTTGAGGTAGTGTGTGGGTCTCTGTGTGTGTATCTATGTCCGTGTGTATATGAGTCTCTGTCTGTGTGTGTGTGTCCGAGTAAGTTGAGGCAGTGCGTGGGTCTCTGTGTGTGATGTGTGTGTGTGTATGAGTCCCTGTCTGTGTGTGTATGTCCATGTCTGCTGCTGGTGCAGGTCTTCACTGTACATATAGTGAACGAATTACCGTGCAGGCCTCCCAAACCCCCCACCGGCGGCCAAGCGGTGACTGCCCAGCTCATGGTCGTGAGCATCGGAGCTGCTGGTAAGGGGAGAAGCAGCGTGCACAGCTGCAGGAAATCTCACTGAAAAAAAGCAAGCTGGAATGAACACAGAAAATTGCTGAGGCAGGTACGCAACAAGTTTGTCCAAGCAGTGACCTGTCAGAGGAGATGCGTCCATCGATATACGATCAGAGCTAACGTTTCCTTCACTCCAGGACGCATAGCGTTTGTAGGATGTAGTTAACCAACCACAACGCTTGTCATTGACTAAGTGACTGTCTCAAAGAAAAACGTGACAAAGTAGCATGAGGTGACACACAGCAGGCACTGCGTATGTTTTAGTGCACTCTGGCCGTTCAGCTCGCGACTAGCCCTTGTATATGGAAGAGACTCCCCGACATTATGTCTAGTACTTGTTGTGCTTCCGCAAAACGACGTCCACACAGGAGTTGTGAGGAAGAATTCATGGTATGAGACATGCAGTTGGTTACCATGTGAACATCTAGATGACACCCTGCGTCGGGGAGA